CCCACTAACATGCATAACAATGATGATGATAATGATAATGATGATACAGGAGATGATGGGATATGAAGCATAGCTAGAACTATCCTTCTTCAGGAGGAAGGGCATCTCATTCAAGATAACAGGAAGAAAGGGGAGATGGGTCTTCACACAGGCAGGTTTGAAGATCGGCAGGTGGGAAAATAAAAAATTTCCTGGTGGATGTTTTCTATTTTCTCTGAAACAAAAGGCAAAATTACCTCCTGAGAGTTAAGTAGTTCAGAAGAAAGGATAAAATGTAGAAGAGTGAAGGTTGAAATAGTCATTACAGAGAGTAAGGAACGTAGTAGTGTTTCCAGGCAATGTAGAAGTCTCAGTTGAAGCTGAGGCTCACATTCGCGAATACCGGATCCAATCTCCCCTGGAATTGCCTGAGTGCTGACATTGTAGCAGGTAATTGGTTCACCTGGAGTTGGAGTCTTGCCAGGGAAGTGAAAAAAAACGGAGAGAGGAGTCAGGAGGAAGAGTGGAATGGCCAACGATGAAATCTAAGAATAAAGAGGGAAATGAACACACAGGCAAGTAATAGTGGAGAAAGACAGAAATGGACTCAAGGTCCAGATGAAGTAAGAGAACAGTGGGACCTGGGACCAGGTACCAATTCTAAGAGCAAGGGAGAGTACCCAGTGAATTAGTAGGATAACAGAAAAGAGAAGCAGGGAAAAGATGGCAGAACATAGCATGAGCTACCATAAGGAGGGAGAAAAATGTTTTGGAAGTAGCATTGGGGAGTGAAGAAAACATCCACCAAACTTCTAGGAAGTACTTTGAGCATAAAAGAAAAGTCCTCTGGGGCGCCTGGGTGGCTCAGTTGTTAGGTGTCTGCCTTTGGCTCAGGTCATGATCCCGGGGTCCTGGGATCAAGCCCCACATGGGGCTCCTTGCTCAGCAGGAAGCCTGCTTCTCCCTCTCCCGCTCCCCACTTGCGTTCCCTCTCTTGCTGTGTCTCTCTCTGTCAAATAAATAAATAAAATCTTAAAAAATAAATAAAAGAAAAGTCCTCTGGAGAATGGACTCCAGACTCAATAATATGATTGGCTATGGAAGTGTACATATGACCAAAGTGAATGTAAAAGAGACAGTATACCAAAATTCTACACAATTTTTTAAAAATCAGCTCTACATGTTTAGGATAGGAGGGATTTTGCTTAAAAGACTTTCATGTGGAAAAGTCAGAGATAGTGCAAGCAACTAAGTGTAACTACCCCCAAAAGTGTCCTGGTCACAATTAATTAACCTATATATAGGAATGTGTTAAATTGTGATAAACAGAATTTCCATGTTATTTTCTAAAATTGGGATTAAATAATTCACATGTACTGCTATTTAAACAATGTTAGAGTGAATTAATGATGTCCTTTTATTTATGGTTTTAAGTAACTTTTAATTAATAAAATTAAAGATGGATATAAAGTTTTGTTGGTGCAACTTTTACAAAAAGAAAAATCTCCATAACAAAACTCCATTTCAATATTATACATGATAACAATTTGTGATTTTGTTCTTTCCCTAATTAGGTAATAGAGTACAATACATATGACTTTGTCTGCTGGTCTGGGAGGGTTCCTAACTAGGAGGGTTCCTAACTGGGAGGGTTTTTAATCAACTAAAAAAAAAAAAAAAAAAGGAATGTGCACATTTTGAAGTAAAAGAAGCCACCTTAAGTTACTTGTTTATTTCAATACGATGAATTTTTTAAAAAAATTCATGCCATATTTTATTATTGTTATAATGTTTACATAATAAGGTAAAATTGGGAGAAGAAAAATTATACAAAATAGCTTTCTTCCATTTACTTTCTTTTGAGACAGTATGATATTATGTTAGGTTTTATATGTTTTTACGGATTAAATGCCCAAATTTTAACTATATACTATTTTTAAAGCAGAAAAGAAAAAAAACTTTTAGATGCTTAGAAGAAACTACAAATGTTCTGTGAGTTCTTAATTTTGGATTTGCTCCGTCATCAATACTATAAAGTCTTTCCTTGACTATCAGAAGCTTTGGGTATTTTGGTAAGCATTAAAATGCAAATCCAGGGCATGTTCTTGTCTTTCTGTTTTCATATTACCAAACCTAACCAGCCATACTGTAGCTCTCCAATGCACAAAGTACTCATACTATATAATCTGAGACTTTTGCAACCATATATTTTAAAGGACTCATCGAGCCCTGAAAGGCAAATGCTATCATTCAAGTTCTAATTACATGCTACCTGGGTTTTACAGAACAGAAAAAAAATGAGTACTGTACTTCCTAAATACATTTTTTTACCACAAGCGACTTCCAAAATAAATGCCCCAAATATTGTCTGAATGTATCACTGTACAAATAGCTCAAGCACTGGCCTATTCAAATTATGTTCTAGTTTCTCCCGATGCTGCTTCCACTTGGTAAATTGGTCAATAAATGCCAAGTCAAATATTCAAGTAAATATATTTTCATTGTTATTGGCAGACATATAATTAACTCTGAGAATGAAAGACACAAGAAATCAATTTATGATTACTTCTTCAGTTCTTCCCATTAGTCATTTACATTATAATTGTGGTCCCCCTTTTAAAATCTTTATCCATACACACACACACACACACACACACACACACACACACACACACCATTTTGACTATATTATAAATCAAATTATTTCAATGACAAATTAGTATTGTATGAACTGTGAACTTGATAATGTTAATTTTATTAGTAAGATACAATCATACTATTACCCATGTATATGAGCTGATCAAAAAACAATGCACATTTAAGAGCCTATATTAATTAGTAATTTCAGCAGATGTTTCTAAACAATGTTAAGGACTTGCTCTGTCTTTTCTCAAGTATAAATATTTGAGTCAACATTTTTTATGTATGTGTATGTAGTAACAAATTACACTTCCACTTCCAACAAAACAGGCTGCTAAAAAAGAAAACAGTACAAAGAGTAAAGCTATTTTTTTTCAAAGAAGACATATAAAGAACAAGTTTTTTTTTTAACATTTGTTATCTGTCAGGTCAATATCTTCACCAATCCGGGAAAAATACATTTTGTATAAAAACTTACATAAGTGACCTTTTAAAAACTGCCCTAAACTAACTGCAAAAGCTTCAGATACATTATTATATGTGGATTTCTTGAAGAAAAAAATCTAAGATGAGCTCAAGAAATGTTTTAATAAAATATGCTGTCATTACTCAATTGTTACTTTCATTATGGTAGCCTAATTGTTTTTAATTATATATCATGGGCAAGTCATTTAACCTCTGTGTTTCCTCACCCATAAAGGGAGATTCATAATGGTGCCTCATCACAGGATTCCTGGCAGGGTTAAAGGACTTAATATGGGTGAAGCTATTTAGAATAGTGCCCAGCATACAGTAAGTGTCAGCTAAGCATTACCTAATTGTATGTTTTGCCTATTACTTCTATTAGCTTCCAGTTACCAATCCTTAAAGTATCTCAATTCTTTTCAAAGAAAAAAAAGCTACATCATGACGTTCTTAATGCTCTGCCCTTCCCATCAGCTTATAGTGTTAGCAGCTACTTTATCTGCTACTCACAAGCAAAACAGGACCTAGGGTCTCATTGAGTAACAGTCCAAAATTCTATTTTAAAAGACAGCACTCTCCCTATTATCTTACTATTAGTACACTTTAATTCATTCAAACACCAAAGTAAACTAGGTGCTAGGCAAGGGCTACAACCTGTGGAAACAAAAGATGGTTAAGAAAAAAATTCCAGATGTGTTGCCCCCAAAACAGTGAGGGATACAAACACAAAGCCAAGTAAGTACTCTTGTTTAATTGTAACATGGTACCCCGAACTATAAAAAAAAAAAAATTCTCCAAGCTGTCCAAGGGTGGGCTTCCCAGGTGACATTTGAGTAAGACTTGAAAGAAGAGCAGAAACTCACCAGGTAGAGAAGAGATCTATGATTACTTTTGTTCACAAAGAAAACTAGAAATTCCTCACACTAGGAAGTTAAAATAGACATTTTTTTAAGCAGACATCCTCAAACAGATTTCCCATTGCACACAGCTTGCTTAGTTTATCTCTAGGTGTTGAACAAATATTTTTGAATGACTGTCGTCCCCCGTCCCCCCCTCCCCCCTTAGGCAAGGCCTTCATTAGGGCATACTTGGATAATGTTCTTAGATCCCTTCCTCCCAGGGCTCAGAGAAATCTTCCTCAAACCACTTTTATCACACCACTCCCTGATCAAAAGCCTGGAATGGTTTCCTCCTATTCCCAGAAATCAGCTCTCTGCTCTGACTAGATTTCTCTCCCAATATGCCTTGGGCATATTTCCCTTTTGTTCATATCCCCTCTCTGCCCCAAATGCTTTTCTCCTATTACTTACTTCTGCCTTTCCAGAATTCTACCTTGTGTCCAAAATCCTCCTTCAAGAAGCCATTGGATTTCCTTGCTGCTACTTAAAATAACATAACTTTTCAAATGATGCAGGAAAGAAAGATGCTAGTGAAAAAATTCTACTTTGGGATGAAAGAAGTGTCCAAAATGTGGGAGAGAATTGAAAAAAAAAAACGAAAGGCAGAGACTCGCTGGAAAGTTACATTCCAATTGTTACATCAGGCAGCACACTTCCTTGAATTATTTACTATTCAAAACGTATACCCTGCACCAACTACTTATTGAACGATTATTTTTTCCAGTGACATCAGGCTCTTTTAAAAAGTTAACCATCCCACAACATGGACAATCAATTCACTATTACTTAAACTGGTTTCTTTAGGACAAGTGCCTATTAGAACGAGTGTCCCTGGATTTGGAGTTTGAAATATTACCCAGCAATATGGCACTGCACTAACCAGCCCGGCAGTGTGCCTCCTACTCGAAGGACAACTATTTACAATAGTAAAATACCTTCAAAAAGCCAAGTTCAAATAGATTTTTTTTTTCTTCAAGTGAGAATGAGAGAATGAGCATGCTCTAGGCGTCAAGCTACCTTAGATTCCAACTTGGTTTTCTCTTCATTCAGCTCCTTGGTTGCTTTCTTCACATCTTCACGACATCTGTTTATCTCCGACCTTACTGGAATGCAAAGGAAATCCTTAAACATCTCTATCTTTCTAAAGTCCCCACGTCTGTGCACCTGCAGAGCAGAGCCCCCTCCCTGCTCTGACCACGCCTTGGGGGCTGCCCTTCGCCCTAAGCCCCCACCTCGAGGAGACCGAGGCTGCAGAAGGCGACAGAAGCACCCACCTCCTCGGATCACGCGGCGACTCTCCTCGGCCTGATGCTCCGAGAAGATAATGTGCTGAAACAACGACTCTAAACTCATCTCAGGCCCGGGCTCCTGCGGATCCGCTGACGCCCTTCAGTATCTGCTAGCGGAGTCCGAGGCCCCTGGAAAGCACAGGGAGGACGGAGGACTGCTCGGGGCCAGCCCCGCATGGGGCCCCGCTCGGGACGCGCGAGGCGGGCCGCCAGCCCGGCTCCCGGCCTTGGTTTCCCCGCTTCCCTAACAACAGACAACCAGACAACCGTTTATCCCCCTCGCACCCTCTCTCTGCCTGGGACAAAAACTCTGCTTTGGTTCCCTGGCTGAACGCAGCTCCCCTCATTCGAGGACCCAGGCCCTCTCGGGGTTCCCTTGGGTCACCTGCACACCAGCCCCGCATGGGCTGGTGGCAAATAAAAATGGAGGCCGCGAGCCGTGGCGTCGGCGCCGGCCTGGGCAGCACCCCAGTGGGTGGCTGGCCTTTTCCTCTCCACCTGCTCTATTTTTGGGGAGAAGGTCCTCATAACGCTCTGTCCCACAGCAAAATGCGTACTTGCCAACAATACCGTGGGCAGGAGATCTCCCCGCCGGCTGTGGCAGGCGCCTCGGGGTGGCCTCGCCTGGTGGGGACTGAACTACGGCGTCTCGTTGCGCCCAGTCTGCGTTCAGGGGCTTTGCTTTGGCCGCAAGGCCCCAAAGGTCTTAAGGCCTTACTTGGACTTGTGGTGATCTTTCCCTGAGGCGCAAGCACCCCGCATCATAAAGAACTAAGCACTCATGATTCTAAATATAAACTGCAACGTCTTCTCCTTTGACTGTGGCAGAGACTGCTATAAATGTGCAATGCCTGACATTCCGCCTTAATCATTCCTTTGTAATCAGGGCATATCTTTTTAGTCTGCTTTAAAATTAATCATGGCCTTCTGTAATCAAGCTTCAGTAATATTAACACTTCAATATCTGCACAATGTGTGTCAGAGACCAAAGCGGTTGCTAATTAATAAAGCTTAAACGTGAAAGGCACCTTTGGGACTTTTGCATGGGATTTTTAAATTAAAAAATCAAGCATTTTTAGTTTTAGTAGGCCAAAATTGTAAGATTATAATAAACATTTGACTTTTTTTCTGAATGTAGAATTGACATTGGCTAAACTTTAAAATATATATATATATTTTTTTTTTTAGATTTTATTTATTTATTTGACAGAGAGAGAGTGGCAGACAGAGGGAGAGGGAGAAGCAAGCTCCCCACTGAGCAGGAATCCCGACGTGGGGCTCGATCCCAGGACCCTGGAATCATGACCTGAGCCGAAGGCAGACGCTTAACCGTCTGAGCCACTCAGGTGCCCCTAAAAAATAATTTTTAGTTAGATTGTATTAGAATTGAAGGAAAGTAAATGTGATCTCTGTCTGTCACATCATCTGTATGAGTCTTAATTAATATTTCATTAATGCTGTAGTATATTGGGCTATAAGTTTTAACCTATTCCAAATTTCCACCTCAATTTCCATTAAGCCATGTATGCATAAAACTTAATTTTTAAACTGTATTTAAACTGTATTACAAAACAATACATACAGAAAAGTGTAATGCTGTAGAAAAGAATTACCCATAAACGTACCATTCAGAAGCAAGTATTAATAACATTTTGGCTCCTTCTTCCCGCTAATCCTTCTCACCTTGCATTTTTCTTTTATAAGCTTGACAATATTGTGGATAATAATAATCTGATTAATATTATTTATTAAGTATCTGCTGGGCACTATTCCAAACACAATGATTTTTACTATTACCTTTATAGTATTAGATGAGAAAACTGAGAGCAGGAAAGTTAAGTAGCTTGCCAAGGCGGCATACCTTGTATACATACACCTTGTATACGGCAGAGCTGGAGCTGAAACCAAGAAATCTGAGATCAGAGGCCGTGAATTTAATTTTGGATACTGCTCTGTCTTCCTTTGATTACATCATAAGCATTTTACAATTTCATTGGAAACCCTTCATGAATATACTTTTATATCGTCATAATCCTCCATCATGTGATGCATGTGTAAAACTTAGATATACTGAAATAAATTTGACTCTTTTTTCCGTTCGAGGATGGAAAACAAAACTGAAATTGTGGTTTGAACCATTTTCTTTGAGCATTTGTTTGGAAGCTTATGAACTGTGCCACGGCGCTATCAAAAGGAAAGGGCTTCCAGAAGATAAATTATATTACTAATTAATATCACTCCCTTCAGAATTATTTCCCGTGGACTTGCACAGGGGGCATCCTCACAAGGAGGCTCTTTTCAAAAGCATGCTGCTCTTTAACATTCCAATTTTATTAGTTACACTCAAACTCACATTTATTATTTAACATGTTCTTTCTGTACTGGAAACTTGGCAGAGTGGGATTCAGGCAGCCTTTTGGGAGCCCAGCCACCTCACTCACACAGGCGTACGCGAGAGAGAACTGCTGGAAATTCTGGAATGGGGTTATGGGGAGAAATGGCTTCTTCATCTTCTGCAGGCTTCATATCACAGAATATTTTGGTGCTTTTAAATCCCAAGTTCAATTCTTCTTAGAGGCACCGCCACTATAGACATTAGCAGGGTTTTTCCTTTTCTTTTATTTGTTGAAATGAACATGATTTTGCAAGCTCACAATTCAAATTTTTTTTAAAGATTTTATTTATTTATTTGAGAGAGAGAATGAGAGATAGAGAGCATGAGAGGGAAGAGGGTCAGAGGGAGAAGCAGACTCCCCGCCGAGCAGGGAGCCCGATGCAGGACTCGATCCCGGGACTCCAGGATCATGACTTGAGCCGAAGGCAGTCGCCCAACCAACTGAGCCATCCAGGCGCCCCACAATTCAAATTTTAAGTGGTTGTTTTGTTTTAGATTTTGTTTTATTTGAGAGGGAGCAGGAGCGGGGGCTCCCCTCTGAGCAGGGAGCCCGCAGTGGGGCTCCATTCCAGGACCCCAGGATCATGACCTGAGCTGAAGGCAGATGCTTAATCAACTGAGCCACCCAGGCGCCCCAAATTTTAAGTGTTTTATAATAATGAGTAAAAGTAACATGTTAGGATATTAAAATATTATTATCATATACTAGCTATATTCATATATTTTCTTCAGTAAGATATTTATTCTTATAGATGTACATGCTGATTACATTCTCTAATATTCAGAGCAAGAGTAGCATTACTTCAATTTATGCCAAATAAAAATGGTATACGGCATGGTAAAACTAGGGCATACCATTTTTGGAAAATGGTACCTTATAAGTCTGAAAAAATGATTCATTCAACAACTGTTTAATGAGTCTCTGCTATTCATTCAACAGTCATTCAACAAATATTATTGAGCATCTCCTATGTGCCATATTAGAGAAGCAACAAAAGGATTTAATAAAAACAGAACTACATAAAAACTATTTTTCTTCCCCCGGATATTTCTAACCTCATTGGAGAATTATTATATTTTTCAGCATTTTGGCATCAGTATAAACAACTGCTTTCAGATGTTTCAACAGATGTTCTTCAGAAAGAAGGCCAATTATTTGCATTATGATACCCACATATGATTCTCAGATCTAAACTTTCCATCTGTACATGTTTCATTGAATTGCATACCTATGGAATATAAAAGTTAAGATCACTCATTGTCTCTCAACCTCAGACTTTTGTTCATAATAACTCCAGCACCTGGGTTATTGAGCCATTGATAATTGCTTTGCTAGAAGGCCTTACATAAGGCTATATTGCTCTTGTGATTTAAAATGCATTTCCTCTCCAGTCTTAGATTGATGACTTTCCTAGGTTCTAAACCAGACTTGCAAATACCCACTAGCCCAGGGCATATATATTGCAATGAAAAGAAGACAAGTAATTCGTTTATTTTATGTTTTTCTTAGGGCATCTGCCAAAAAGAAAAACAAAACGTAGGTTCAACCAAGTTTAACAACCATTTATTGAGTATCTACTAAGTATAAAGATATCTCTGCTAGGTACTAGGGAGGATACAAAATTGAAAGATACAAGCCCTGTCCTCCTGGAGGTCATCATCTATCAAATGGGATGTAGCATGCACAAATACTCCTAAGCAGACTGTATATGAGAGCTTCACCCTTGTGCTAGGGGAATATGGCAGAGGGAGAAAGAGTAAGTCTGACGTAGGTGATCAGGGAGACTTACCAGTAGGGGATAGAATATGAGCTACCTTTTCAAGGAGGGTGTGACTTCAATAGATAGCGAGTAAGGGATAAAAAAAGCAGAAAGTTAGATGAAGCCAACATCTAGATGGTCTTTAACAATTTCATGTATGTGATGGGGGACCATGTCATGTTTTCCAGCAGGTGAGAGGTCTGTCAGAGTTGCTCCCGTAGTCAATTTGTGGCAGTGGATTTGAAGCACTAGAAAGGAAGAGAATAATAGCTAACATGTATTAATAACTAACTACATGCCATCCACCATCTGAGACCTTGACACATCTTAATTCTCTTAACCAACCCAGTAAACTTGTAAGTTCAATGCTTTTACTTTTTTCCACATTACAGTTGGAGAAGTGAGGCAGAGAGAACTAAGTAACTTGTCCATGGTCACATATGGCAGCAGAATCAGGATTTAAACCCTGATACAATCTTAAAGCAGATCCTTAACTACTTCATTTCCTGCCTCCAAAAACTAGAGGCTGGAGAAAATAAGACTGTTTCAGCAGCTGTGTTTCATTTCAAAGCAGATACATTTCCTAAAAAAAAAAAAAAAAAAAAAAATGTTTATCATTAGCAAGTTAATATCTTTTCAGAAGACATTTTTTGACCTACAGAATTTGGATTAGTAACACAATCTATGTTTAACCAATTAAAATCAAATGCGATTTAAGGAAAAATAATAGAGAATGGATCATGCATTGTAAATGCTTATTTAACCAGCTGTATATCTAACATGTAAAACTAAAAATGAAATTTGTATACAAAGTATTATATTCAATTCCTAACATTTATATTAGTTTCCTAGAGCTGCTATAACAAAAATATCACAGCTCAGTGATTTAGAACAACAAAAGTTTATTCT